CTGACCGTACGAGGTTATTGGGTAAGTACATCAAGACGTTTCAGAAGGGGTACGTATGGTAGCTACAACCTATCGCCAGTGGCCAAAGACTATGTAGTTTATACAATGAACGTGTAGGGGCTGTATGCGGAAGGGGAGAGATTCAGACTGCTTGAGATGGATAGGTGTGTCACCTATCACAACGGGAGAGCGCAAGGGGAAAAGAATGTAGGGTCTGTACTCACTCTTGAGACGGACGGAAAAGCACAAGACAGAGGACGCAGGCGATACAAGACGAGTGACGAGAGGAAGAAGTAAAGGGAAAACGAGAGATGATGAACAACTAAGAAAGCGACGACAACCAACGAGAGATAGTAGCACGAGTTCAAGCTACAATATAGTATGCTACGCTGTATGATAGAAGCGAGAATTAACGGAGTCCAACGTTGACGAACGCCCGATCGCTAGTGGGTACGCGTGGCGCAGCCGTGCCGTTGAGGATTGAAAGGAGATGGGCGTTGTTCGCGGGGTTGCCGCGTATAAGATTGAATGTCTGCGAGATGGCAGGCGCAGAGAGCGGGGCAGGCTCATTGTACTCGGTCGATGGCAGAAGTTGACCGGGGGGATCAAGGCGCAGGGATTGTTGGTTTAACGGCAAACGATTACCGGGGAAAGGTTGCGGGACAGGGAAAGGAGCCGGCTGGCCAACCATGCGGCCCGAAGGATATGGTACAGGTTGAGCGACCATCGGCAGTCCAAGAGGAGGACGAGCGCTGTTGCCCGGGATCATGCTGCCAAGCTGCTCTTCGTTAAAGACGCGTCTAAGGGGCATCGGGTACGGAGCGTGGAAGTTGTTGCTGGTGTGCGGGCGGACTGTGAAGGGGTCATGAGCCGCCACCTGAGGTACAGCCGGGAAAGGAGGAAGAGCAGTCTGGTTCACGAAGCCAGGCGTACTGGAAGAGGGTCCAGAACCGGATGAGTAAATCACAGGAGATTCCTCACGAATTCCATACATGGAGTTCAATGCGCCAGACATGCCTATTTGTTGCCGAGCTGGTAGAGGTTGTCCGCCAATGGCCAAAGCAGCCTGCTGACGTTCTATCTTTGGTGTCATCCTTTCAGAATCCTTTGCCAAACCCTCCAGCATGGAGATGTACTTCATCTGCTTGGGGATAGCTGCCTGAGCAGTAACTGCACGCTGCAAGTAAGGTGAGAGGTCCGCGGTTGTGCGCCGTGCCACTGGAGAAGCCTGGGAGCTTGTGCCATTGGTCAGGGAACGAAGATAAGCTTCAGACGCTGTGTGCTTCAGTGGCGAACCAGCTGATGGCTTGCGCGAATGAGAGTGTGGGGGTGGAGGGGAGACAGTAGGAACAGTCGGAGTACGTGGGGGCCGGATAGTCCCGGCCAGAGAAGGCGACCGGGATCTAGGCTGTACAGCTTCCGTTACGATGGATGGGGGCGCCTGGAAACTAGGGG